GTTCTGCCACCCCGGGCGCCGTCAGGGCCGCTCCGGAGCTGTGACAGGGCCGCTTCTCTCTCTGTGCGGTGACAGGACGGTGCGCCCCGTGGCCTCGCTTCCCCCCAGGGAAATGTCTCCCGATCCCCCCCTCAGTAACTGTGCACCGGGCTCTTCTGAGGTAGGCATTTGCCAGAGGAGTGCCCTGTAAATGTCTTTATTGGGTATTTTAGGCTGAGGCGGCCGGCCTCCCTGCTGGTCGCGATCCCGCCTGGCAGGGGCGGCGGGCAGAGCGCAGCTGGGGCGGTGTGCCCTGGGAGGCACCGCGCCATCCTGCCCGCCTGTCCCGCTTCCATCCCGGGGTGAGCTGTCGGCCTGGTGAGTTGTGCTGTTGTGAGGAGTTTTCAGCACTCGGACTTCTCGTGCAAGTTCCTGTCCATGATATATTTTGGCACTCTGCTAGAGGTGTTTTGGCCACTTCTGCTTACCGCCTTGTTTTTTTGTGGGTGGGTTTTTTTTTTTTTTTTCCCCCCCTGTTATTACTCCCTGATTTCATCTCTCCCGGAGAAGCTCTAGAAATGGTGTTCCCATGATGTTTCCATTAGGCCACTTATTTTTATCAAGATTTTATTTTCATTTTTACTCAGCCGCCACACCGTCTGCAGGGTAGTGTATAGAGTCTACAGTGATGCAAGTATGGTGCCACCGCTTATACCCCATTTAACTAAGCTAGTCAGTTATTTCACTGTCTTTCTCTTAGAGAGTTTTTATATAGTGATATTTTGTGGGTTTGGAGGATTTGAGATTGTTATGGTTTTTAGTTTTGTTGTGTTAGAGGCAAGTGAAAGAAGCTGGTGTTGCTTTATTGAGGACTGACCATTTCAAAGTATTTGGTAATGCACTTAAGCTTAAGAGTAACTGTACAAGATAAACACCGGGAAGAAAAATACAAAGAAGAAAAAGATGCTAACACAAGGTCAAATCCCACACTATTAGCATAGCTATCCCTGTTTATGCCCATTGCAAATCTGACCTGCAACCTTTACCATTTTAGACTAGCATTAATTGCAGATCCTGTGTGGCAGCAGGTGTTACCAGATGACACAAGCACAGCAATTTATCTGGTTTGTGCTGCTTCATTTCAGATATTTGCAACATCTTACAAAACGACATTCCTTTAAATTCTATAGCATGAAGTAGGGCAGTGGAATGTATGCTGGATTGTATTTTTAACTACAGTACAGTAAAAACTAACTTTAAATTGCTGCATAAACTCATTACAAAACTATTCTTCAAAGTATTTTTTTGTTTATTTTTTTTAACTGTTGTTTAATACCAAATAACCACAGGAACTGCATATATCTTTTGGATTGGAAAACCAAGCAAAATGGGGACAGACTTAAAAAGCTTGATTACAGTTTATTTTTGTTGCATGTAATTTTCAATAAGAGTGGTTTATTCTAACAGCTGTAATAAGCATGGCAGGTCTGAAAGCTGTTTCATGATTGCTGGGTCTCTTTCTTTGTCTCTGATGATGGAGGTGTCTTAATTACTGTTTGTTTTTGTAAATTTTAAGGATTAGTCATCCTTTGATGCCATATGACTGAGTTGTACCATACATTTCCAAATCTTTGCATTCAAAGGCTTGATGGAGTTGGGTTCTGATAGGAGATTTTGAAACCTACTGCTTCGACCCACAGTTAGTCTTTCAGGAAAAGCATTCCTCTATGCCACGGCCAGTTCTTAACCTGTTTATATGGAGATCTGGCAGTTTGGGAAGATACCTTTTAATGTGGACACTTTAATTATTTCATCTGTCTCTCTGCAACTTTTGTTCGCTGGGTAAATGAAAATTGTCTCCAGATCCTGTTCACAGAAGAGGCGGTGACTAAAATGTGGATCTGCACTCCTCGCTCCATGAAAGCAATGGCAGATCTCCCATTGACTTCAATAAGGACAGGATTTTGCCCTAGCTCGCTAGCTTCTGTTACTGTCATTCAGAGGTCCTTGGTAGTTTGTGTCCACAGAGCCAGAAGCATGTTTTTGGGAACTCGGAATGCGATGTTTTTTTCCAGCCACCACTCACTCTCACTTTGTGACACAGTTGTTCCACTTTTGGGAAGGCCAGGGAATGATTTTCATAGTGTGAAGATTGATTTGGAGCACGAAATCCCCACCAAACGCACAAGTAAACCATTACCGGAGAGTCTAGTGTAATTGTGGATGCTGTATTTGGTAGTAACTGCAGCTTTTGGTTGGATCAGACTTTATGGCTTTGCCATGTAACTTTTGTAGGGACAACCAGCCTCTCTTGTCCTTCTGCTTCCTCATAGATCTTATTTATAATGCATACCTGTACTACATAGTCTTGTTTGCTGGGACAGCCACATTGCAGCCCCCTTTTGTGAAATGGTAGATAAATCATTAGTAGGACTGAGAAGCCGTGATTTTATTTCAATGATTTCCATTTCAAGCAAATTATTATCACCTGTTCATGCAGTGTTTAACACAATTGTAAACTGAACATTGGAGCCCTTACACACTGTCCAGCCCTCTCTTTGCCCACTTTAGGCCATATTGCCTTGCACGGCTATGGCCATCATGCCCGTTACACTTAGCACAAGTCTGTGCCCAGCATCCCACAACCCATTCCAGCGCCCAAGTCTGGCAGTGTTCCTGCCCTCTGCACCATTCCTCCCCTCCTGGCTGCCAGTACCAAGTTGGTCGGGATGTCCTCCTGTTCTGTATCCACCCAGCGCAACGTCCTTCTCTTCTGCATTGGTTTCCTTCACGTGTGAGACCTGCACGTAGCCAGAGCTGGTCCACTTTCCTCCAACCTCACCGTGGCCTCCACCTTGGCCTCCAGAAGGGTGCCAGTGCTTTGGCCCAAAGTGGAGCAGTGCAGTTGGATGGACAGGAGAGAAATAGCGTACCTGCCAGCTAGCCACAATAAAGTGAAAAGCTGGATCCAGTTTGCGAGTGGTAGTTCCCCTTGGACCTAAAAACAGTGCATGGGAACTCTTGTAAACAAGTCCCAGGTCATTGCAAGAAATGAGTAGGATTGAGACTGGTGTTTTCTAGGCTGATACTTCGGTCCTGGTTCTGTAGAGTTGAAAACTTTAAGTTCGGCGGGCTCTGGAGACACCGATTTGTAAATTATGAAATTACAAACCAACCTAATGCCTTCACTGTTAGCCTTCAGCTTAAGAACAGTGGTCAACACATACAGAAGATCATGCTAAAAGTGGCAGTCTACAAGAACAACCACTCCTTTGAATCTGTATAGAAGTTTATTGTAATATATGTGAAAACTGAATTGCTTAAAACTTCAAACTAAAATGAATGGGAAATTGTTTTATCTCTTGGGGGAAAAGAAAATTGTTTCAAACTGCTGAGCTTGAATAAACAAATAGTCTGTGCAATAAATAGTTACATGATGCACAATTAAGATAAAAGATGATTAGTATGCTAACATTTTATATGTGTTTGGCTACATTAAAAAATAGACGTATGTAGTTACCTGTCTTCAGTTCTGAACTGTAACCGTGTTAATGTGTCTCATACCTCATTGTATTTTATAGGTGGCAAAAGTGGAATATGTTAGAAAAAAGCCAAAATTAAAAGAAGTTCTGGTGAGATTAGAAGAGCATATGGAATGCACCTGTACATCATCAAATACTAATTCAGATTATAGAGAAGAAGAAACTGGTATGTTTTCCTTTTATTTCTGCATTAATGCTGATTTCTTCTGGACCTTATTTTTATATTAGTAAAGAATGTAAAGCAAACTTTGCTTCCAGTGAACTCAGTAGAGAAGCTCCCAGCTACTTCTCTGTGTGTCGAAGATGCAAAATGAGGGGCAGTTTGTGCTGGATAAAGAGTTTGAATTTGAAGTTTGAAGTGTGTCAATTCTCATTAGGTTAGCCTTTAAATAAACATAAATGCCGGATAGTATTAAGGTCTTGCTTAACTAAGTTGAAGGTTGTCATGTTGCAGCTTATTGGTGAACTCTGTTGCCTAATTTCTTTAGACTTTGTGGAGGCAGGGCTAAGGCTGAGATTTACGTCACCTTGGGGAAAATATTAATGAAATGAATGTAAAGCACTTAGGAATAAGTTCAATATTCAGGAGTAAGGAGTTTTGAAACACCATTGCCTGTTTCTGTTGTTTTCTTACTTGTATACAGTCAAGAATTTATTGTCAATTGTCACGTTAAACCTAAGTTTGCCTTATCAAGACAACAGTTAAGTTACCATGGAGAAAGATTTATGGGGAAAAATACTTTCTTTCAATCTGACTTTCATAAACCCACCTGAAATCGTTGGGTCACATCCACCTACTAGGGTGCATTGAATGCAGAACTTGACTCATATTCAGGAAAGCTGCTACAGTAGGAAGGACACCTCCCTCTCTCCTGACTTTGGTTGAAGGCAGCCTCAAAAGTTTGCTTTCACCTCTACTGGGAATTTAGGGGTGCAGTAGACTCAGCCCCAAAACTAGAGGCAGTGAAGAACAGGTAAATACAGGGAGGAAAGCTGCTCAAAGGTGATGGCGTTAGTAGGTGGCTGGGTAAAGAAGGGTTATCTGTATGTACTGCCTCCATCCAGCATGGAGACATAAATCTGGTCTAAGCAAATGTAAACTTCAGTTGCTGTATACAGAGCAGAAGAATTAGAATTTGTATAAAAACAAAGTTAGGCCTCTGCTGTGATTTTATTGGACATCAATTTATAATGTGAACTGAGTGTTTTAGCCAAAACTAGGTTGAGTTATGAGTAGATAAAACCACAGTTAAACAGGTTGTTTTTATGTGTGTATGGTTTGATATTTTTTCTATGTCTTCTATTTGGAAAAAAAATCATTAGCTAAATTCCAGTTTTCGAAAATGTCTTTAATTGCCAAAGACTAGGCAATTAAGATTTTAAGATGAAAGCTTTTCTTCCTGGTATGTGTGAAAAATGGGGTAGAATTGTCATGAAAGAACATAGATTTCTATGATTTAATTACTGATAGGAACAAAACTTGCACCAGCAAGTGGATGGCGAGCTGAAAATAGCTTAACTACAGAGCTGAAAGCAAATGTTGAATACTGCATGGTAACAGTAATTATAGATGGATCTTGGAAATGACGTATGCAATGTCAACTTCGTTTATTATTTCTTTACTTTTGTACAATTACTTTGTAAACAGAATGTCAAACCAGATGTTATAAAGTTATTACTTTAATGCAAAGGATAATGAGGTTTCTTTGAAATGTAGACGGTTTGAGTATTTATTACTTCAGTGTTCAATAAAATGTGTTACCTTAGGGCTTTTTACCAGCCCTGCCCTTATGTTAACAGGAAGGCCTAGGGAATCAGGTAAAAAACGGAAACGAAAAAAGTTAAAACCAACATAAAACCTACTGGAACTATTTGATATTCAGGTAGGACCTATATGCTGAACACCCTAATAGCACAAGTACTGGAAAACTTAATCAAATATCATCACTTCAACTTAATCACTGTTCAAAATCTTGACACTTGCTACCTCAAGGCTGCAAAGAGATTAGATTTGATTGGCTTTGATAATTCTACCTGCTGGTATTTTTCCTTTAAGCTCCACATCACCATCAGCATCTTACATTCTCAAGCTACTTCCTTTTCTTGCCTTTTTTGTTTCTTTTTTTTGGAGGGTGCTAATACTTCAGCTTCTGAAATCTCAAGTTCCATTGCCTCTGCTTTTGTGTCATTATTATTGATTTCTGAGGTCAAAAGATCACATAATAATGCATGAATGAATTGCCAGGTTACAAATTACTGTGTTCCCACTCATTGGCTATAAAACATTAAGTGTACATACAGCAAGTACTATGATATGCATGACCATCAAACCCATGTTTTGGCATGAACTGGGATTGATTGTACATGCACCTGAGATGGTCTGATGATCTGCCTACCTGACAAGCAAGATGCTTAGAAATACCATGTTTTTGTGTTGCAGGGCCCTGTGTTAGTTACACCAGAAAATTCAGCTCTTTTTTTTTTTTTTGGTCTGTTCAGTCTCAGTAGGATGTCAGTCAGTCATCAAAATTCATGAGGTTTTCAGTGTAGTGAAAAACTAACATCCTCTCAATGCAAAAATGACTGAAATCCTTTGGCCGACGTATTAGCAATGTATAATGATGGCAGTACACATTCCAAATTGAATATGGAATTTCCATTTCTTAATGACTTGAAATTATGTAAACTGCAGCACGTGCAATTGATTCTAGTATTTGGAGCGGGAATGATTTGGATTTTGCAGTGTATGTGCCTAACGCCTGGATGATGGTGAATTTAATTTGAAGCACCTATTTTTGCACATAAACTCCCAATGGCAGTTTTCATTTATACTGATGTATCATTTCTAAGATTGCTAAACTTGATATCCTGTTTCAGATTAACAGGTATTTATTGGGAGTAGTATGATAGAAGCAAAGATTTTCTAAAATTCAACTTTAAAAGTGAGCATGTAAACTCAATCAAAACAGCATTTAGAACTTCTTGTCCCAGGTTAGTGACTCTTCATGCAGAACAGTTGTTTTTTTTTAAGTCATCTACTTAGAGGACTGGACCTTTGATTCTAATCATAGAGTTATTGTATCTTTTTTCTCTCCTGCAGATGTAAGGTGAAAATAAGCTAGAAAAAAAACTTCTCTCTGGGACATGGATGTACATGGTTTGTTACATTCCTGAACCTACTATGTATGGTGCTTATTGACAGTATACTTTATTTGTTCTCCTGTGTGAAAAAACTGGCTCAAAAGAACACTTAATGAGAACAAAGAGACAATGTACATTTGTTTAATGTGACATCAAAGCAAGTATTGTAGCACTCTGTGAAACAATAGGAAGCTTCCCTGTCCAAAAAAGAAAAAAAAATGAAAGAAAGAAAAACAGAAAAGAAAAAAAGACAGTTGAATGAATGGAGGATACCAAAAGTACTCAAAAACATGACAAAAATCTAAGTGAATAGTGGATTTCTGTCAGAGCAGTCAACGGTGCTTTACGTCAAGAAATGTGCCTGCGTTCTTGATGAAGATGGATGGACACTGATGGACTTCAGGCACAAAAAAGCAGGAATCTATGAAATGATCAAATGCCACGCAAATACTATAGAACAATACATCCTTGCTTGGTGGTGTTTTAAAAGTCTATACAAAAAAACCTTCTGGGGAGCCTTAAGTGGATTTTTTTTTTTTTTTTACACCATAAAGTGATTATTAAGTTTTCTTTTTACTCTTTGCCTAGCTTTTTATTATCTCTTGGACTACATTTGCCAATAACACGTATAAAAGACTGGTATAACAATAAGCAGAACACAAAACATTATGGTATTTCTCCTAGTGGGATGCAAACTAATGAGATGTATTAAAATAAAAATGGTATACCTATGCATAATTTTCTAGATGTTTCTTGGTTTATGTTCCTCAACCTCCCCCGTAATTTAAAGCATTACATAAAAAGAGAAAAAAAGAGAGATGCGCGTAAACAAATCATAGGATATCCATGCAAAAATCTTTTTTTTTTTTTTTTCCTTTAAGACTTATGCCAGTTGCCTACTAGTGATATTGTGTTAGCAATTGTCATTCTTATCAGTATACGGATACTTTTATTTCACATGTTGGAGCTGTGTGAAATGTACAAATTCTTGTATCTGCATTGTACAATGTCATGGTGGCATGGGAACTACCTTGCTGCAAATATTTGAACAAAACCTAAAATTCTTTATTTTTGGTAAAATGTTATGCTTTATGTGTATTCAACAGAAATATGTGTTTTTGTAAAGGTGAAGTTTGTATTTTTATCTAAAAATTAACAGTTTTATATACCTGAGAAAGCCTGCTATGTTTTCTTGAACCAAAAAAAAAAAAGAAAAAAAGAAAAAAAAGCATTTTGTGGTCATATTTTTGTAGTAGAATAGCCCAAATAACATCAAAATCTATTTTAACTATAGCAGGGCAGATAAAATACTCTGGCACCAGCTCCTGTGTTTTCACAGTGCCAAAGGATTAAATGTTCAGTTCCCCGTGGATTACAGTGGGAGCCACACGGCTAAATCCTTCTGTACTGCTTTGGAAATGTCGGGCTGTGCCAGGTATGACATGGCTACTCGCTTGGCCAAAATCCCTGCCCCACCCCAGTAGTTTGGATTATGTACCCTTTGTTTTAGTTGGATTATCACATTGGATATGTAAAATGAACTGCTGGATTCTTCTATTTGTGAAACATCTACAAAGAGATGAAAGAGTTTTCTTAGTTTGGAACAACAAAAAAGTTTGTCTTGAAGACAGTGTTTCCACTCAAATAAAAAATATCTTCAAATGTGAATGAACTGCAGAACCTTAAAACAACAAAAGAGAGAGAGATTTTAAACCTTTCCATTTCCTTAAATATAGTTCAAACATTCCCCTCCTGTTCCAATTTCAACCAAACAGAGCAGTGTTAGCTAACAGGCATTATTGGCTTCAGATGCTAATGCAGAGATAGTTAGTCACCGTTCTATTTTGTGATCATCTTCCCAGTGTATTTGTTGAGCACCAAAACTGGAAATACATTTAACTAAGATTGTCTGTGCTTGTTTTCCACTAAGTGTACTGTTCACGATGTTATGCACATGAATGTATGTGTCTGCGTTTAAAAAAGTGTATAAAATGTAATTTATATATTTATGTTTCAGTGGGATGCCAATAATGTTGCTCCGTTCCTTTTTTGTCTAAAAGATATCTAATGAAAAAGAAACATATATCCATTAAAATCATGTAGATGAAAAACATTATGTGACCCACTCAGACACTGTGCAGGTATGAAAGGATGTCAAAGTCACTTAAGTGGAATAATTTGCAAAACAGCTCTCTGAGAGTCCCGTGGTTGCACTGGTATAAGAAGGTTGCAGTCAGATCTGTGGGCCAAGTTCCCTGGAGTAACTCCATTGAGTAGAATGGAGCTCTGCTGATTTACATCATGAGTGAGTCTGGCCCTATGTTAAATTCTTGGGGGGAAAAAGCAGACTGAGAGGCGTGCGTTTTATTGGTGCCAGCAAATAAATGTGTTATGCAAATTCAGAAAAGCAGGAGAGAATGAAGACTGAATGGAGTCCTTTCCAGTAGTTGTTTGTTTGAGACTTGCCGTCTCGAGTTAATTTTGTTACCAGGGATGAAACGCACATGAGTCTTTGTTCTCAAGCACAGTGTTTATATGGCATGCAGCAGAAAACACAAAAATCTCAGGGCTATATTCTCAGCTAGTATAAATTGGCAAACGTTTTTGACTTCAGCTGCCCCTAAGCTAATTTACGTCAGATGAGGATCCAGTCCACGGTTTTTAAAAGATGAGGAGTAGTGTCATGACATGAGCATTGCTCCCTGTAGTCCAGCTGAGATAGTACCCACCGGCCTTTTGAACGTTACGGGCTATGGTCATAGTCCTTCTTGTTCGAGGTGGCAGATACAACCAGAAGGAACAGTACCATTGAAGGTTGTGACACAGGAGACATTAATTCAAAGTTAAGTTGGACATTTCAAGGGCCATATCCTCAGCTGGTGTAAATCACCATCACTCCGTTGCCTGCAATGGAGCTGTACCAGCTTACACCACTTGAGGGGCTGGTCCCTCATTCTTCCTCATCCCTTTCACTGCTCGGTCCTGCAGGGATCTCGGATTGTTGTGTACTGTTAATGTAATCCTGTGTTCTCTAATACTTAAGCACAATAAGTGAATATAAGAATGAGTGTCAGACTTAACTTTGAATGTCCAAGCTCTGAAATGGTTTGTTTCACCATTGTGGCTGTAAATTAAACGGTTCTCTGTGCATTTGTGAATGCCGTGTCATATCTTCTTCCGCTGTCTACTGGAGGTGGACTCCATCTGGACTTTTGAAGTGCAACACGTGGAGTGTTACAGGGAAGGGTGTGAGCAATTGGAGCCATGACATACCTGATGGACAGCTCTGTTATTTGTGGGGCGGGGGGCTAGCGGGAGGCTTAATGAAGGAGTTGAAGATGGTGGTTGTGAGTCACGTTCCCATGCAATCCTTTAACACCTTGTCGTTTTTGTCCTTGCACATACTGGGTAGAGATTGGGGGTAAAATGCGTTTCTGTTTTACATTCTGCAGTCACTTCCTCTGTCCAGAGATTCTGAAGTTGTTCTGATTTCATCCTTTTTGAGGTCTTTTGTGGTCAGAAAGTGTATGTGTAGTGGACTGCCCAAAAATAATCCCAGTGTTACAATATGGTGCATGATCACTGCTTCTCTGGTCAATTCATTGTGTTTAATTCTGTGCTTCATCTTTCCAGAGCTGCCCTTCAGTTGCTTCTGTTGAGTGAAACCAAGGATTACGTGCCAGTTTGCTTTCCTTTTCTCCTGTCCTCCGTTCTGCTTGGCCTCTGCTTTATTAGCCAGTGCACGGTGACACAGGCAGTTGCTCTGCTCCAGCCCTGGAGGTTCCTAGGCAACTCCAGGGCTTCTGTGTCTCTGAGCTTAGGCTTTTACTCTGCTGGGAACAGCATCTCACGGGTCTCCTCCCTCTGACGGGCTTCAGCGTTCCAGCTGTGAGGTTCTCTTGGCGGTCCTCCTCGGGTCCATGTTGCCTTCCTGTGGTCTACTTTCCAGCTGTTCTCTGCCTGACTTTCCCATCTCTCCGTCTCTCAAAAATGATTTTCCCTTCCTAGGATCTGTCTCATCATCTATCTCTTCTCTCTCCTCCTGCCTGACAGAACAGCCTTTGATCTGTTTATCTCTGGATCAATCGCTTTATCTAGGCATGTGCCCCGAGATCCTGTCTCCCAGGCCCACCGGCCCATAAGTGACCCCCACATGAAAGCCAAGGGCTGTTATAGAGACACGGGTTTGTGGACAGAAAAAGATTCATCTTTGCATTTGGAAAAATACTCATTACTGAAGGCTCCCTGCTAAAGCTCCGTCCAATTCCAGCAACAGTGTAACTCTGGACTAGTGGTATTGAAGCTGTTCCAGACATCTGACAGTTCAATTAAGATCAGTGTCCCCGTTTATAATTTAATTTGAAAGTGTACCCAAAAGCAAAGATGAAGTTTCAAAGCTACCTCAGATTTGCATGCTCATATTTTACTGTAATGTGCAGGAAATCGTGTTTGTAGGCCCCTTCTATAGCTTTCAAAATCTTACCCTGGATATTTATCTGACCCTCTCTTGGGCTGGAAATTGTGGTTGCTTTAAAATAGAAACAATGTGAAGGTTTTCAGTGAAGTAATTTTCTTGGTGTTTCTGATACACAGCTTGTAGTACTAGCAGATCTCAGAAACAGAGTCAGGTAAAAATTGTTTAAACCCGTAAGAATCCCACTTAAGTTTGCTTTCATTTCAGGGAACAGGGACAAGCCTATCAATGTCGCATCCCTCAAAAATCAGCCTGTGTTTTGTTTTTATTGTTTCCTTTAATTACTGTGTGTTTTCCCACACTGTGATAGCAAGGTGTTTTTCCATGTCTGAGCTTTTCTGTGCCACTCTTGGCTGTAGCATCTCTGCGGCACAGCCTTGAACTGGTTTGTACTCCTATCTATCTCCTCTGAAATAAAGAACTATTGTTATCCCGTTTTAGGCGAGCCCGAGGCATGGAGAAATGACTGTGCAAGGTCACACAGCAAGGCTATGGCAGAACCAGGGATAGGACTCAGATCTGAGTGCTCATCCAGTGCCCTAAATCGCACGACCATCTTCCCTTTCCAAGAATGAATCCTTGCTCCCTTAGAGCTAAATACTGAAACGATTGAGGGTAAGTCATTTTGCCTAATTATTGTGTGTTGGATACATGATCAAAACCCACTGCCACATCCTCCGAGAATGCAGTGACTGCTGAGAACCCAGCTTTGTGCCTGTGCAGTTGTGCA